AAATAATAAAAAAATTATAAGTTTTATAAATTAAAACTATTTATATTATATTTTATTTTATTTATAATTATTAACAAAATAATCTTATAATTTTAATAATAATAGATATAATTATTACAAAAATCACTCTCTAATATCTTATATTATACATATTTATATACTTTATATATATATATATTTTAATTTTAGTTTTAAAATTTTATTAAAATAAAAAGTAAAATTTAATTAATTTATATAAAGTATAATTAAACTTAAAAATAGTATCATAATTAATTATAACTTAATTATAATTCTCTAATTGACTATTATAATTAATTATAATTAAATCATAATTTTCTACAAATCATAATTAATTAAGATATTATTTTTAGATTGAATTAATTAAAATAGTAAAAAAATGATTTATCTGATTCTAAGTTTATATTTTATTTCTCAATTAAATATTAATATACTTAAAAGAGTCTAATAAAAATATATTTATATGAATAATATAAGTCAAGACTATTTTTCTTGCTTAAGAAATTATAAATAAAAAGATTCAAATATAATATAGTATCATTTCTTTAATTAATATAATCTTATATTAATATCTTAATAAATTAAAGTAAATAATAATATTATACTATTAAAGTCTGAAAAGTAATAATACTTAAAAAAGTTTTTAATTATCATATTATTAATAATATCTTTACAAATAATTTTAACTTTTTTATTAAACTGAATCTATATAAGATTATAATATTAAATTTAGAAATATAATTAGCAAAATCACAAATATAGATTAAGTTATCTACTTTATAAAAGATTTTAAATCTATTATAAAAATAAAAGTGAGTTATCAAATATTAAAAACTCTAGAAAAAGCTTGAAAGTTAATTATATATTATAATATTATTATATATGAATAAGATAAATTATTAAATCTATTAAGCAGATATAATAATAATAATTATTATTTACAAAATTAATATAAAAGTCATTAAAATAATGATTTTATATTAATAAACTTAATTAAATAAAGAATTATTATAATAAAAGAAATAATAATTAATAAAAAAATAATAAGTCTAAAAATATATATTATAACTATAAAAAATCTAATTATTTTATAAAAAATAATTATTCAAAATCAAAGATCAAGATATTAATATAAAAAATTTATAAGAAAAAATTTTTTTAATTATATAAAAAAGTAGAATTTACTTACTTAAAAGATAACTATAAAAAATTATTAAAATTTAATAATCAAGTAAATAGTAAGCTAGTATAAGTATTACTAGATAATAATATATTTAGAAATTTTATTGATAAGAAATCTGTGTAAAAAAATAAAATAAAATTATAAAAGATAATATTAGTAATTATTAAACTTATAAATAACAAGAAAATTATAATTATTATTATGATAAAGATTGATAAACTCAAATTAAATACTTATAGAATATATAAGATAGATATATAAATATTAAAATTATAAAAATATAACTTAATTCTAGATAAATCTTAATTATTTTATATTAAATTAATTATAAATTAGAGAAATAATATTATAATTTTTACTTATAAATTAAAAATAATTAAAATATAAGTTAATAATTGTAACAAAATTAGATTAGTTATTAATAATTATATTATATTTATCTTTTATCTTGCAGATTATTATTACATCATATACTATGCCACACATAACTTACTGTATCACAATCACCTGATCATACCAAGAAAAGTCATCCAATTTATTTAAGTTATTTTAGCTATAGATAGTTTCATAGTAGAATTTCTCTTTTCTCTTATTCTACTAATTTAGTTAACGTATTACTAAATTTATATATTTTATTTATAATCATTTATTTCTTTATTTATTCATTAATAAGCATCTTCCAGAGGTACTACCATATAAGTATTTTCTATTATTAATTTATTTATCTTATTATTAATTTATATAACATTAATTTATTATTTAAAGACACTATATCTGTTCTATATTTTTAACAAGAAAATAAATACAAGAATAAAGAATAAGTTTTAAACATAATTTCTTGTCTATTTTTGATTTAGTTTTCTGTGTGAATTCTATTTTAATTACATTACTTATATCTTGAATCTTTTGTATGAATTTTTCTAATATAAAATTATATTCTAATTTTTTTATGTGAATTATCCAAATATATTACTTTATGTAATAAGAAGATTACATTATATGATTAATTATCTTCTTAATAAGATAATATATACAAGAATTACTTTAGATAAAATATGATTATTCTCTCAATAAGATAATTTGTGTAAGTTTACTTCTAATCAAAATGCTCTCTTAATAAAGTAAGAAGAAAATAAAATAAGATATAAGATAAAATATATATATTTTATTAAAGAAAAATACTAATTAACTATTTCTAACTTAGTAGCTAATTCTTTTTATCAAACTTGATTATTCTTCTTTATCACTTCTTGACTCTCTATATATAATATTTTTCTTGCTATGCTAATTACAAATCATTTTTAACATAATATTTCACTTAATTTACTCAAGAACAAGTAAAATTTGAAAAGAATAATCACAAGAAATATTAAATACATGATAATAAAAAATTTAAAATTAGTGAAATATTAAGTTATTCAAGATTAAAGTAAGAAAAGAAAGAAAATTAATAATAATTAATTAGGGAATTATTAATTTAATAAAACTATAAATTAGGTGCAACACACATGACTAAATTAATAAAAAAATAAAACTAAATATGATTAATAATATAAACTAAAAATAGAATTAATTATAAATAAGATTAATTAATATAAATTACTTATTTATCTGATTTAGTAATAATTGGCAATTACTACATTACATGCTACAGCTACACTATCTACTGCATTATGTCTACTGTATCACATAAATAGGTAATTGATTACAGAATCTCTGACTTTAAGAGATTTACTCTATAAATCTTTTAATTATTGTTAATGATAATTATTAGTTCTAGTCTATTGAACTCAATATATAATTTCAAGTGATTATTATTATATGAATTCTTCAAGACTTTTTCATCTTCATTCTAAGTTTGTATATTTCTTTGTCATATACTTTATGTATATAAATGATCCTTTTTATTTTTCATCAAATTTATCATGATACCAATATTGAGTTTCTATTTTTTTTATCAATATTTTCTGTCCTATCTGAAAGATTATTGACTTTTGTTTCTTGTCATACCATTCTTTTTATTTTGACTATTCCTTTTATATATTATTAAGGGCTAGTTCTCACATAATTTCCAATTTATCAATTAATTTACATATTCTTTTAATGAAAGCTTCTTCAAAGATGTGACTATTAAAATCTTTTAATTTAATATCTAATAGTGTAATTGCTTGTCAACCATATACCAGTTGAAAAGATTCAAATAAAGTTATACTTTGTTTCATTATCCTATAGATAAATAGAACTGAAGATAGGTAATGATCCTAATCTTTCTTATAGAGTTGAACATATTTTGATAATGAAGTACATAAAGTTTGATTTAATCTCTCAACTAGTTCATTAGTTTGAGAATGATAAGGTGCAGAAAGTCTGTGTTTGATTTGGTATTTGTCCAATAGCTTCTTGATTATTTTATTGACAAATGTAATTTCTCTATCACTAAGTATTTCTCTTAGAAATTTATGTCTCATTACTATATCTTCATAAAGAAAGAGGATGATTGTACTTGCGAAAGTATCAGTAATTAGTCTTGCTTCAGTCTATTTAGTTAGATAATCAATAGTAACTATTTCCATTATTAGTTACTGAAAGAGATCCTATCAGGTCAATTCCAATCTTTTCAAAAGATGCATTTACTTGAATAGGTGTTATTTTATTATTCTTGCGCAATCATCCTTTTTGTTAATATATATCACAGACTTTAATATATGCGTCTACATCTCTATACATCTGAGGCCAATAATAATTCCTCATTATCCGATTATAAGTGATTTCAATTCCAAAATAAAATTTATCGAATACATTCCTTTTCCGCTGATAGTATCTCGAAAATGACAAACAAAGATATTCAATATATTATAGATAACGTACCATTTGACTATAGTATTAAGATAGAAGAATCAAAGATTCAATGTTTCACATCACCCACCCTAAAATCCAAATTCCCTGAACCGAGTTCAGGAAGTGATCAGCAAATTTCTTGCGAAAAAGAAAATAAAGATTCAGAATTTTCGGAAACAGAGGTAAGCACTACATTCATTCCCTCTGTCCCATTGTTTCATACCTCCAATTCGGAAGATATGATGAGTGAGGATAACAAATCTTTACCGGAGGAAGAGGTAAGCATATCTACTGGAGCAATTTCAAAGGATAAACCAGAAACTGTAAATGAGGATAATAATATAAGCGAGAAAGCCGAATCTTTACTGGAGGAAGAAGTAGGTGAACCCAATGATTCTTTAGATTCTAACTCGGAACCCTCTGATGATGATGGGTTCTGTGGATTTTCTGACGATGATGATGAAGGATATTATTATGATTTAAATACCGGTGAAACCAATACAAAATCGGAGCGTTCAATTTGTGCATATTAATGATTTTTAATGTAATATAATTTTTAGATACACGTTAATTGATTATTTATATTAAATTTTTCGTCTTTAAGATTCTTGCATTCTTATAATATTGATGCGATGAAATTATGATTAAGGTGCTGTAGTCGCGGTTGAGTTGCAGTAATTTTTTTCCTACATAATTCTATGAAAAACAGGTGTATCTCAGTTGAGTCGCGGTTGAGTCGCATTAGAATCTTAGTGATGTGGACACGGCATCTCATGTCAGCGTAAAATGAGGTGACCACGTGATGTTGTAATTTTTAATATGTAAAGCATGATCGTCTGTATCAATGGGTCAATCACAGATTTTTTTCCATTCGTACTACTATTTCATTACTTTTTTAATCGCAAAGTCATGTCGTTTAACGTTGCAGGTTCCTCCACCAGTGTTCCTGTTATTCCTTCATCTGATCTTCCGACGGTCGAGGAAGTGAGAGGATTTAATGCCGAAGCACTTAATGGCTTTTTGAAAAGGAGATTAAACGGCGTCGATAATCACATAGACACCTTAACAGCTCAAGAAGTCGATGGTGAAGCTTTTCTTGAATTAACTCCTGAAGACCTTACAAAACTAGGAATACTTCTTGGACCAGCTAAAAAAATCTTGAAGTTGATTAATGGCATTCAAGGAAGTAAGTGAACTTATTCTCGCCCAAACCGTGTCAACGTTCGCCAATAATACCGAATACTTATTCTTGTGCTTTTCTTTCCTGCTTCTTATCGTCAAACTCGCCCAAAAAACACATTCGCGTTATCGTAGATCAACCCGTTGCTGGTGAGTCGTAATAAATTTAGTCGATGGAATGAACGCGTCTTGGCTTGATTTTCGATAGCCGTTGTTTCGTTCTCGTT